CAAAGTACTGCCCCTTTCCCTCACATGACTTAGCACAGCTACAGTCGCCTCTTGGAACAGCTGATTTTGGGGTCTAGTCTCGTTTGTGTTCCTTGTGATTAATGTTTTCCCAATCGCCCTTTTGTTTTTGTTTCTTCTATGCCCTGCTGATGTGCAAATTTGCCATGTCACAAGCAGTTGGTATTCCTCGGGTACTCCTGGCCCTCCGCTGGGTCCCCTCCCACCTTGGCACCCTCTCCCCCACCTCACCCCACCTGTAGCTTGGTTCCACAGTCAGATTTCTGGAGCTTGTTCGGTTTAATTTGATCTGTTCCTTTGTTTTGTTTCTTTGTCATCCACATCTGAGAGGAATCGTCCAGTATCTCTTCCCTTTCTGACTGTTTTCTTGGCATACTGAATCCCCTCCAGTCCCACCCTATTGTTGCCAATGACAAGATTTCATCTTTGTGTGTGTGTGGTATTCCATTGTAAATAGGAAACAACCCAATTGAAAAATGAGAGTGAGTAGACACTTCTCCAAAGAAAACAGACAGACAGTGATCAGGCTCATGGAAAAAATGCTCATCATCACTTATCATCAAGAAGATGAAAATCAAAACCGCAATGAGCCTCGTGAGAATGACCCAAGGCTGCGCCTTGTGAGAATGACCCAAGGCTGTTCCCCCTGAGAATGACCCAGATCAAAACCCAGAAACAAGAGCTGACCAGAATGTGGAGAGAAAGGAACGCGCAGCGCTGGTGGTGGGAACACAGGCCGGTCCAGCCTAAGGGAAAACAGCAGGAGCTTCCTCAAATACTAAAAATAGACCAACTGTATAACCCAGTAATTTCATGCCTAGGAATCTACCTAAAATACACAAAAACACTTATTCAAAGGGTATGTGCACGCTTGTGATCACCCTTTACCCAGCCACGCTCTGGAAACAACCTAAGTGTCCCCCGAAAGACGAGTAAGGGCTGGCATGTATCCACATTTGGAAATTTAAAAGCCAGTGCGAAGTACTGATAGTTCAGAGATGCTACCAGGGCCGAATTCACAGCCTACTTACAGCTGAATAGCAATGGGGGGGGCAAAGTCACATGTTAAAAAATTAGAGATTCGAGATGCAACAGGCAGGTAAAGGGGTTATTAGGTCCACTGGGTGTTGGGCCCCCATTATCATGGGGGTGGGGGAGATTAGCTTCTGGCCATACAAAAGGGGCAGAGACATTTGGAGCTTAGGAGATTTATGTGGGTGCAGCTTTTTTTTTCCTTACTGTGAGGATGTGGGGTAACCCAGGTCTCTTTTTGCCTCCCACCGCCAGCTGCTGCAGCCACCACCTGAAGCTGTGTTTTCATCCGAGGTTTCGCTGCCCACTCACTGTCCTGTGTTATTGTTAGAAAGTGCTCAGGAGCGTGAGCACAGCACACACACCAATAAATACGACACTGGCCCAGAAGCTGGCGGTCACTGCGACTAGGAGGCCCGGCCAGGTTGCCGCCTCCCTGCTCGGCCCTCTGCCCGAATCTGGTCCCCTGCTTCAGCATTAAAGGCCTGTCGGATAGACCCAGGGCTCCGAATTTCTTTTCCTGTTTGCCCAAGTCAACCATGAACCTGCCCAGCAGTTCTGGGCAATGAAGGGCCAGAGAAACTCAACACAAGACTCCCAAGAATGGAGATGCCCAGGAAGGGAGTCTTGGACCACCCCACCAAACCAAGACCCCAAGGAGGCCTCTGTGTTGCAGAAAAAAGGACCATGAAATGACGGGGGAAGGGAGGAGCTCACACTACCAGCCCAGGATGGGGTGTTACTCTATCCACGGCGCTCCCCACTACTGTATACAGGAAGAGTTGGCTGCTCACGGGCTGTTTCCCGTGAGAGCATATCTGCATTGATATTCTCTACCAGCACAGTGTAGGTGAGTTTGCCATGTTTTCTGTCCAGGCTATACAGAATTTTCGTTTAGACGGCCGTTTAATTTTCGTTTAGTGGATGGTGAGGACAAATGAGTGGATGTTTTCATCTACACACTTCACCGCCCCACTCTGTCCTGGGAAGCTGCTTGTGTGGATTACAACAGGCAGTTAGACTTAGCAGTGGGGCATCTGTGGCCGAGGGTGGAGCCAGGGGGCTCTTTATCTCGCTGATTCCCTCCCTGAAAGTTGCTTTAAGCTGACCGTGTCCAACAACCAAGGCTGGCTGGCCTTCTCAAGAAGGCCCTCTCCTTCCGGGTTTTGTAGACACTTCCCCTCGCTATTCTTATGGACCCAGGGACACATCAGGTCCATAGGCCTATGCCTGGGATATTAAACTATTCTTTGTGGTTTTCCGACCTACCCTTCCCCCATCTTTAGAAGTACTTGCTTTATTAAACGTTTCCTGAATGATCCTAACATAGGGATGCCCTAGATTTCCCAACCAGGCATGATCAGTTGGGAACAAGGTTCTCCAATGAAGAAGGAGGCTTACAACTGATTTTCTTCTTCATGATTCCTCCAGGGGCAAATCCCATTAACATGCATTTCTACCCAAGGAGTCTGTTTCTATTAACTTCCGATTGTGTAAGTCCAGTAATCAAGAGATCATTAATGTTCACCCTATCGTCAAGGTGTTTTCACCTGTCTCCATTACGTCATCGCTGCTGTCGTGATTGCCAGTCAAGTCTGTAGAAAGCCACACGATGAAGGACACAGGCTTCAGCTCCTCTCTGATTTGTTTCCACTTTTGGGGAACAAACACTTTGGGCAAGGATGAAGTTTCATTTCATCGCCTTCCCACCCATCACAAAAATGTCTTGAAAAGCCTTATGGAATGGTTTGTTTTCCAAACAGCACCGTAGATAGTGGGTGTCAAGTTTTTGTGAGTGTTGACCTACCAGCATCGCTCTGGAATGTGTGCAGATGACCTCCTTCAGCTGAACTCTTGGGGGGGGTTACGGAGTGGTTAACTTGGCTCTAAAATTCTTAGGGCCCTCCCTGGGGGCACAGCAGGGAAAGCAAAGCAGCAACAAGCATGCCACAGCCAGAGCAGCACAAGTTCCATCCTGCGCCAGGGAGGTGACCCACACGGTGCAGCAGACCGCTCCTGACGCCTGTCTGTCCGCCTGCCTGTTCTGCTCCCCACTCTGTCTCTGGTGAATCCTCTCGCCGCCACCCCTCTGACCTATACGCTGTTCTTGTATGCATTCCATTATTTTTAAAAAATAAAATTCTTAGTACACAGGGAGAAATAAAAGCTAACCCCGCATCACAAGATGTTCAGGAAGGGGGGTGCACAGCAGCTCCCCGGGAATATGAGAGCATCTTACAGTTGCTCTTTTCTAGTATTGATTAGTTGGCCTCCTTGGTGCAAAGTGGGTATTTGCTCTAGTGACAATGTTGTCTAGTTTGCATGATAACGGGCAGTAAATAACATATGCTTTTCTGAGAAGGTGGATGCTGGCTTTGCCACACGGCTCCAAGTGTGCTGTGTGCCCCGAGAGCTCCGGACACACCAAGGACAGCAGCAGGGCCCAGCCAAGGGTGCCTCCTCCGTCGCTCTGCAGAGCACTTTGATTTCCCCGTCGATTGATCGGTGTCAAAGTCCTCGTCAGATAACCCACGGATGGGTGACATCCCAAGCCCACTGGTGCTATTTCAGGAGCCTCATTGACAGCAAAAAGGCTTGCGTTTTTGATTTTGACATTTTCCTACTGCAATTATAAAGTCACAACACCTTTCGTGTTACGTAGCATGTACTTACATAATTCTAATAGAAAAGACTTTCTGTGCTCTCCTCACCCCTCCACGGACCTCCCCTTCAACTATCTCCTCCTGACGCCTCTCCAGCAGCCGGGCAATTCTCCTTTCTGACACTGGTTTCCTCGTGCATGAGGAATAAAGCCTGGGCTGGCCAGCTGCGCCTGGCGCTTTCTGGTGAAGGCTGCCTCACGGGCAGAGGGCCTGCTTGTTAGTTTTGGGGCCTGGGGGGCCCCTCCATCTCGTGGAAGCAGGAGAAGGTGCAGGGGCACATTGTGTTCACGGGCCACAGACAGCGTTCTCACTGGGCTTCCACCGGCTTTCTTGAAGAGACGCTTCTCCATTTGCTGCTGCTCTGAGAACAAACTCCAGACACTTTCAATGGTTACTGCCAGCTGTCTCTCATCCGTGGGGAAAGGGCCCCCGCAAACTGCTCACACCGCCATCCTGTTCACACGTCAGAGAAGACAGTCTCCAGAGCATAGAAGCTTCTGTCCTCTTGCTTCTCTTTCCTCCTCGGTGGGCCAGAGTGTCCCCACCTAACCCCCAACTCACGGTGGGAGCCCACCCTGAGACCCAGCTCTGTGCTCCCCTCTGCAGAGCGGGAGGAAGGGGGTGCCCAGGAAGTGGCCACATGGGCCTTGGCTTGGGCACAGCCCGCGGAGGCACCTGGGTGCGGACTGCTGCTCTGACACAGGCAGACACAGTCCCAGGAAAGGGGGCGATGGGGCGAGTGGATCGGAGGCCCAAACTTGGGGGCCTCCTCCGACACAGAGAGGACCCCAGTTGACACTCACTAAGGGATATTTTACTCCGTAGGGAAGCAAAACTGCCATCCCAACCGATCTTTGGGGCAAAGGTTGGTTTGAGGGAGGCTGCAGAGAGGGTACCCCCAGACAGACAATTACCTGTGAACGTCTCTCATAAGGGTATGTCCGGGAAGAGCCAATGTCCTCTCTTCCCGGCAGGCAGAACTTAATCAGCCCTGCCTGTCCCTCCCCGCTCCGGCCTGGGCCCCCCCCCTTCTTCCTCTTCGGTCCTAAGGGGGTTACTGCGGGCTCACAGGCCACCCAGGCCGCTGGCCTCGCCCACGCCCAGGAGGTGGGCGTGTCATCACCAAAGTTTGCTTTGACTTTCTCTCTTATCTGAGGCTTGTTTGATGGTTCACCAGCCTAGAAGAGCCCAGAGACAGAAGCTGTGGCTGCCACTGCACCCAACAACCCCCCTCCTCTCTACCCTCAAAAGACTCTGTCCTCCCACGTCTGACCTTTGGTACGAAGCGGTTTATTGAAGTGAGAACCGAGCGTGGAGAGTGGGGGATGACTCTGCCGTCCAGCAGACGGTGGCCCCGGCCCGCCAATCCAGGCCCTCATCTCCCTGGGCTGGGGTTCTCGGCCAGCGCCCCTCAGGGCCCGGGGACACCGCGGCTCAGGGGGCTGTGTTGTAGACCCTGTAGTCATCCTGCTGGGTGACATGCAGCTTCCAGGGGAAGAGGCGCTTCTGCGCGGGGAGGTGCCGGGCCTGCCGCACCATGAGCGCCACGTCCTCATCCGACAGCAGCCGAACCAGGTCCCCCTCAGCATCCTGGTAGTTGAGGGCGATGTCCTCCCTCTGGAACTCCCGCCTGGCGGGGAGGGGCTCAGTTATCCAAAGGTCCCTCAGCTTTGGGCCTCAACATGGGGCCGGGGTGAGGAGGGGCTGGTTTAGGGTCTGAATGGAGAATCAGGAAAGGTCAGAATTGGACTTGGGCCTCCTTGGCCGGAGGAACCTCCCGGGAGCAAATGTAGAAACAGACCCCAGGGGGCCGGGCGCTCACGGCCGGTGTCCCAGCCTGGAGGGCTCCGGCTGCTGCCGGCTGAAGGCTGAGCGTCTCTGGGAGGAGCAGCCTGGCCAGGTGCAGAGAGAGGCCTGTGTGCCCAAGGGGACCACACAAGGTGTAAGGGGAGGGGTGCGGGGAGAGGAGCATTCCTACGCCCCTCTGTGGGTCGTTTGGCAAAATGGCTCAGAAGCCTGCCAGGCTTACAAGCCTGTGAGCCCCAAAGTCCTCTGCTAGGGAATCATCTTAAGGAAACCACGGGATAAGCCATCAAATACATTGCCCAAAATGATCTGGAAGAGAAAAGTGGAAGAGAAACTGTGTGAAGTCTCTGCAGCCCGGGGCTAACAAGGGCAGCTGGTCCTGCCTGGTCAGGGGGCGGTGGGGGGACCAGAAGGCAAAACAGATGCGGACGGCCTGGCGCCTTAACGCACTGTCCCGCTGCGTCTCCGGGCCCTCACCCCTCTGCCCTCCGGCCCGCCACCCTCACCTCATGAGCTCCAGCAGGTCTTTGAATAGTGGGGTGCTGCTGAGGTCCTCTTCCACCGCAATGTCCCTGCGACAAGAGGCCAGGGTGAGGAGGCATCGGGCCGGAAAGGGCGCAAGGGGCGAGGCTGGCCAGGCCACGCCGGTCCTGGACGCTGCTGCCGTGGTTGCTCTGCAGGCGACGGCAACCGCTGCAGAAGTGTGTGCGAGGTGTGTGGTGTGTGGTTTGTGTGTATGAGGTCTGTGTGTGTGTGGTGTGTGTGTGTGTGCATGCGCCGTGTGCTGGTGGCTGCCGTCAGGCAGGGTGGGTCGTGGGGCGGGGGATGGCCCAGAGGGCGGTGGGACAGGAAGCCCCCGGCAGCCACACACTTGATGGTGCTGATGGTGTCCTCATAGTAGTAGCAACGCAGCCAGTTGGTGGGGTCGTCTTCCTCCGGGAAGTCCTTGAGGATCTTCACGAAGGACAGTGGGAAGATGCCCGTGGCTCCGTGGACAGTGCCCTGGGGAGGACAGAAAGGCTGACGCCTCGGTGAGGTCCTCCAGGCGCTCTTGTATGGCCAGGGAAGGCAGATGAGGTCTCTTAGGTACAGGGAGGGGAAGAAAGCCAGGCCGTGGAGCTGGTCACCCCAAGAACAGAGGAAGGCCCGAATCCATCTGGAACGCGGCCTCCTTCTCATTCACTCCCTCCCTCATTCCCAGCCGGCCCGGCACCCGCTCTGAGCCAGCTCCGGGCACACACAAGGGGCTTGGTCCTTGCCACCTCAGGGAACTTCCACCAGAAGCGGGGTGACAGCCCAAGGCAGGTAAGTAGGTGAACTCGAGCGGGAGAGGTTACTGGATCGGGGGTGGAGAGAGGGAGGCGGCTCACACTCTTCCATTCACTCCGCCACAGCGCCTGCCCTGGACCAGGGATCCACGCGCTTTGGCCAAGGCCCGGCCGCTTTGCCCACAGGTTTTCTTCATCTTCATCTTCAGATGAAGGCACAGTGTTTTGTCCCAACTGAAGCTTGAAGCAGCACCCTCACGCCTCCCCTGACCCCCCCCCACCGCCCCCTCAATCTGACGCCAGAGCCGGCCAAGTACTGACACAGAACTTTCCGGAAAATGGGAAGGCAGCAAACACTTCCTGTTTCTGGATGGTGACCCAGCGATACCCCTGGGGTAGCTCTTGGGTACTGGGGCAGCTCAGGTCAAGGAGGGGGTGGGAGGAGGGGGTGGGGAAGCCAAACCCATTAAGTCAGCAGGACCAGTGGTCACTGTTCCACCAGCCCCTGGCTCAGGGGCGCTCCCCTCTCAGGGGTCCCAGGCAAGCCTCACTCCCCCACCCCAGGCCCAGCCTCCCGGCCTGCCCCACAAACTCCTTCAGACTCCATCCCCAGGAGTCCCCAGCAAACAGCATCTTGTGTGAAAACCACAGACCAAATCAGAGAGGCTGGCACCCAGTGGCCTCTCGTGGCCACTCACAAGTCGCCTCGGGACCCCCTTGGCCACAGCACGCTCGTGCCACGTGACAGTGCGTGTGTGCGGGGCCACGCGGGGCAGGGACAGGCAGGCGGGCTCCGGAGTCTCAGGAGCGCGCCCAGCACCCGGCCCACGGCCACCTGGCACCCAGAATCTGCCACCCAGCCCTGTGTAGCTATGCTCCCCACCCCCAACCTTCCCAGAACCTATGAAGCAACTGCCCACACTATCTCCATTTACAGAAAAGGAAACCACCCAGTTAAGCAACTTTCCCAAGGCCACAAAGCTAGCTCAAAACAAAGCTGGGCACCAGGGCAGACGCAGGCTCTCACTGTGGGTGGGCAGCCCAGACCCAGCAGGGGAGCCTCGCCACCCCGAAATGCCTACACAGGACTGGTGCTGCAGTTGCAGGGCTGGTGCTGACACCTGGTGGTCGGAGGCCGCACTGCAGACCCACGGGCACCAGAAGGCCCCACAACCAGTGGCCACCCAGGTGTCCACTGAGCCCAGCCCAGGCTGAACTGCCCTAGACCAGAACTCAGGGTCAAGTGAAGATTAACCGATGTGCCCCACGTGACCACTTTGGGTTCCAGAATCTTCTACTCATATACCTGCCTCCCTAGCGGTCATGGCTCCTCAGCGTCCCCCCGCCACTGCCCAGATCTCCAGGATTACTGTCATCAGAACTGCTCTCCTGGGGCCTTCTAGATTCCTCTGGCTCCTGACCCCCCACCAGACTCAAAGTGACCTCACCTCCACCCCAGGCCCTTGATCTGACTCCACTTTCATCCCCACCCTCGCCCGACCTACCTCCAGCCAGTCTTTATTGATCCGACTGAGCAGGAAGATCACGTCTCCAGCTTTGAAATTCAGCTCCAGTTTGCTGTTCCCGGTGAAGTCAAACAGGGCCTGGGGAGAAAGTGGAATTCGGGGAGACACTGCCCGGGTCCGGCCAACGCACTCACAGCGGCCACCCCACAGGCGAGGAAACAGGCTCAGGAGGGCTGCGGCTGCCTGGTCACGCCACTCGCTGGGAGAGGAGCTGGGTGAGGACCCCTGACTGCAGAGCCATCTCTGCCAGCCTGGCAGCATGAAGATTGGGAGGGCAGGCTCCAGATTCCCCTGGGGCTCCCGGGGGGGCCTCCGGTTCTCAGGGGAGCTCCAGCCTGAGGAAGTGCCCGGCTGGCTGGTTTTGAAATGCCCTTTCCCAAGTCTGTCCCCGGGGACCCGTGAGCTCCTCGAAGGCACAGCTTTGAGGCAATTGAGACTTCCGAACCCACACCACGCTGGCCGAGGGCAGGCCGGGGTCTTGCTGAGTGAATGGCCGGGAGCATTCTGTGTCCCTGCGCCGGTGCATGTCACCTCCTCTCCCCTCATTCAGCTGGGGGCCCGGACCCTTCCTCTCCGACCCACCCGACCCACCCCAGGCACACTGCGCGGGCCCAGCGGGAGAGGCCCGGGCGGCAGGTGGGGGAGCTGTGGCCAGGGCCGAGAGAGTACCTCTGCTCGAGGAGCGGCCAAGCGGTCAACCGCGGGGCCTTGCCGGGACTGGCTCTTGCTGCGAGAGAGGAGAGGAGAGTCTGTGGACGCCCAGCCCTCTGGGGAGGGGCTCCCCACTTCCTTGCCCAGAGAGAAGTGCCCCAGGGGTGGGAAGTGCCAGAAGGCAGAGGACACTAGTCTGGCCCCACCCGCCCTCCAGGGGATGGAGCAAAGGCAGGTCACATCTTCCCCCGGCTCTAATTTTCTAGCTGGAGTGGAGAGGAGACTGCCCTGCCCAGGTGCAGCTGGAATACTGCCCAAACCCCAAACCGCCTGGACACACAGGGTGGCCACCAAAGGACAGTCACACAGGCCGAGGAAAGAGAGGATGGAGCTGGGAGGGGGTCGGGATCCGGAGCCTGGGACTGTCAGCATCTGCACCGTCCTTGGAAGCCTGCCTTACTTCAGAGAGGGCCTTTCAGGGAGCATTCCAGCCCCTCCTCTTCTTGGGGATAAGGGAAGGAACGACAGCGCCCCCTGGTGGCCAGGGTGGTACACAGCCACACCCACCCCGGGAACTAAAACTAACCAGGGGGCCCCGTTCCAGGACCCATGAGGATGTCAGTGACTCCTGCCTCCCCACCCCCCCAAGACCCCCACTCTCTCTCGGCACCCAGAGCCCTCGGACCCAGCCCAGATGGGCTTGAGACGGAGCCCACTCCATCACTGTCCCCAGCCCTGCCTCCAGGACATCTGGGGGCCATCACACCCATGGAAACTCACCCACCTCTGCCCCGCCAAGCCCTGCCCTGGGTTTTCCAGGTGCATCTCCTAAGTGGAGTCCTGCTGGATGTCCAGGGGTAGAACTCGCTGGTTTTCAACCAGGCAAGAGGACCCTTGGCACCAGAGGCCTCCAGGATGGAAACCCTGGTGATGAGTTCGAGCCCCCTGGGTCCCACTTACATCTTCCGGGTGTGGGGGCGGAGCCGGCGGAGCGCCTGAGGCACCTGCTCGGAGTCGTAGCTCGACTGGTAGAAGAAGAGCCGGACGTCCTCGTCCATCAGCACCCAGACGGGCAGGCTGAGAAGGTCCTGCATTGGGGCGGGGCAGGGCAGGGCAGGGGGGCGGTCAGCAGAAAGGCCTGGGGGTCCCCGGATGCGCCATCCGCCCCGCGCCGCCCCGCCCCCTCTATGTCTCTCTACTCCTGGCTCCGCCTGGCCACAGAGGATGTGTTGTAGGAACCTCAGTACACTTCACAAGCTTTGTTCCTGGGTTCAAGGTCAGGAAGGACCGTCTGGCTTTGGAAAAGACCTGAAGATGTCTGGACACAACGTTGGTGATGAGAGGCAGATTCAGGGCATACCCCACCTCCATCTCCCCAAAACCTGGGAGTTAGGCAGGGGACCTGCCCGAGGCCACACAGTGTAGCCAGTGACCCAGACAGGCGCCTGCCACCAAGGCCCATACCTTAGCTCAAAACGAGAGAAAAGTGGGGGGAGGATCCCCCAAATAACCCAAATGAACAGTTTCTCAGGAACAAAGTTGGGGAAACTGAGGCCCAAAGACAGAAAGCTACTGGCCCATGGGCAAGGCCAGGCAGCAGGGGAATGGGGCCTCCCACAGGGCCCCTGCGGGTTTCACCCCAGAAGCAAAGACCCTGAGGCTGTGAACTTGTGGAGCTCAGGGACTTGACAGGTCGTTCCTGGGGGCTCCCCGGCAGGTCAGGGACACGTGGCCCCCAGCCATCCAGACCAGTCAGAGCGAGGCGCTGGGAGCAGAAGAGGGGCGCCCTGCCTGCGGGCGCCTCAGGGCGGTGAGGAGGCCCCGCCCCCTCCCCCCAGACCTGAAGACTCTTCATTTTGCCCCCCTGCACCAGAGGTCGGGGAGGGGGACAGGAGCAGGGAGCAGAGTCCGGCTTCCTCTCCCAGAGCCACAGGGATGGGGTCCCCCTGCAGCCCCGTCGGCCCGCACCTTCATGTAGGCGTTGAGGACCGGTATCCGCGACTCGGCGATCTCCTGCTTCACGCCCACGTAGACTTTGGCTGGGAAGGTAGAGCCCGGTGAGACCCCGGCTAAGAAAGGGGCGTCGGGCCTGGGCTGCCCACCGGGCCAGCAGCCTGACCAGAGCCCCTCCCCCTGGTCTGTCTTCCGAGCGGAAGGGGCCGCTGGGGGCTGGGGGCGTCCCTCCCGCCAGCCTGCGTGGGCTGGGGCACAGTGGGGTGGAGACCACGCTGGTGGACGGAGCCACAGCGGGGAGAGGTGAGGCCCTGAGGGCCAGTTTTGCTGTGAGGCAGAAAGGAGGACTGGCCAGTGGGCTAGGGAGGCCCGCTGTGGTGGAGTGCAGACACGTTGCCATGTCACGTGCTGAAACGTGTGGACACGTGCGGTGTCAACAGGTGGGAGCCAAGGACCATGAGTGACAGCTGTCGGGAAGCAGCCCAGAGAGAGGACAGGGCAGGGGTTGGCCAGGGCAGGTCAGACCCTCCTCCTGGCAGCCCCCGGGGGGGGGGGGGCAGGTGCCTGGCAGGTGCGGGGCAGGTGTGGGCAGAGCAGAGCAGAGCCAGGCCCCAAGGAGGACAGGTAAGGGGGGGCTCGGGGGGCAGGATGGGTTCCTGACAAGATGAGTGCCCGGAGATGGCACAGGAGCTTGAAGGAGAGCCACAGGGGCAGGGCAGAGAGCGCCCCCATGGGGCACTCCCGTCACCCGCACCCTGCGTGTTTCTCCTGCAGGGCTCAAGCAGGTAGGTGCTGAGAAGCTGAGGGGTGCCCTGGACACAGCTGGGGAGAAGGGTCGGAGGCCAGGGGTGAGGAGCGGTGCAGAAGCAGGGCTGACCATGGTGCCCAAGCAGAGCAGGGAGGGACATGGGGGTGGGGACAGGGGGGCTAGAGAGGCGTTGGGCACAGGGTCAGGGCTGTGGGGCTGAGGCCAGGCTGGTAGCGGGCTGCCAGGAGGGGCACGGACCACACGCGCCATCTCTGGGCTGAAACAGGGCAAGGGACAAGTGCCGGGGAGCTGGGAGGAGGGGGGTGGGGGGGCAGCCTACCTGGGAGTGTGGGCAGCGTGCAGGAGAAGGGGTTCAGCTTGTTCTCGGGCCCGAATCGCTCCTCCAGCTTGCTGTGCAGGGCATAGAACTGGCGGTAGCGGCGGTAGATGAGGTACTTAGTGCCCCCCTTAGTCTTCACCTCGATGACGAAGACCTGGAGGCCAGAGGTCGGGGGATGGGGCTTGGAGGTCAGGGGTAGAAGGTAGACTCGGGGGCCAGGATTCCGAGGGCCCACCCTCGGTTTGCTGGAGGGCTGCCCCGTGCAATGTGGCATTGAAGCAGCACCCCAGGACTCCACCCTCTAGATGCCACCCGCTGTAGAAGCCCGGGGATCCCTGGAGTCAAAATCTGCCTTTAGAAGCCACCAGGATGGAAATTAAGAGGTGAAGTTAGAGGGTCAGAGGTCAGAGAGGCTCAGAGGTCGGCGGTGGCCTTTCCGAGCTGAGACCAGAGGGTGCAGGGCTCTCTTACGAAGTGGCTGGTGAAGCCTCTCTTCTCTTGGGTGTCGGCGATGTTGGCTGAGATGGCGACATCGTCAGGAAGTTGTTCAAAGTCGCTGAAGGAGATGGAGGAGAGGTGTTTATCGCTAATGCGCTGGACGGGAGTTGGGGGCCTGGGGGTGGGTTGTGAGGCAGCGAACAAAGTGAGCCAAGCAGGTATGGTGTCCCTTGCTCAACACCCCTCCCCCAGGCCTGGGTGGACAGACCAGGCTTGTGGGTGAAGGGGTTTGCCGTTCGGCTGCCCCTGGCCGCCGCATTCTGAGCTAACACACCCAGACCCCTGTCATTCACCAGAAACAGCATCAGCTCTGCCACCACCTCAGACACCCAAGCTCTGGCTTTAGGTCCCAAGGGCGAGGTCCTGCAGTGAGAATGACATTTGAGTCAGGAGTCTACCAGGGGACACGGAGAGGGTCTTCCAGGCAGAGAGAACAGCCTAGGCCAAGGCTCCGAGTCCTGAACAGCAGGTCCAGGTCTAACGCGGCTGGAATCTGGGGCGACAGACTGAGCAGGCAGCTGAGGCCGGGCTGGGGCCAGCAGAGGAGAGCTTCGCTCTGGGCGACACTGCCGTAAGTGACCATGTGCCACACAAGGCTTGGAAGGAAGGTGAAACAGTGTGACCCCGGATTTAGGAAGCCAATTCTGGCAGGTGTGTGCCGAGGAGAAGGGACGGACACTGGGAGACTCCTGAAGTCCACCCACTGGCCGCACCCAGAATACGTCTCAGCACAAGGGCTCCTGTGGTCAGCTAGCCAGCCCCACCCAGACAGGCTGGAACTCCCAAGGGAACCACCGTCTAGACACTGACTCGGCCATGGACTCAGGCCCAGCTTGGAGGCGCCTGAGGTTGACCAGCTGGCCCCACCGGGACTCAGTCTGGAGGCTTTCAGTGTTGACCAGCTGGCCACACCTGGTCTGGAGTCAGCCTGGAGGCTCCTAGGATCAAGCAGCCACCACGCCCAGACGCATACTGGAGGCTCCCAAGGTGGACCAGCTTGCTGGACCCTGGCTCAGACTCGTCCTGGAGCTCCTGAGCTGCAGAAGCCTTCTCGGTCCCAAAGCATCGCTCGGGATAGACAAAAGGGTCACCACCTTTAGCGAACATTGTTAGCATTTGTGGTGTCACTTGCTTCTTCCCGCTGAGCTCGATTTTGTTCAGGGTGCCCAGCCCAAGATTGCAGGCTGTGACTGCTCTCAGCCAGCACTAACAGTCTTCTTCCTGTTTTCCGCCTCCATGGCAGGTAGCACCAGCCGCGTAACCAGTGCTGGCCCGTGAGACTGAGGAGGCGTGGCTGGGCCTCTCGCAGAGGGGCGATGGGATGAACAAGGCCGTGCGGTCTCCTTCCCTCCCCCTTTCTGCCAGTCTTGAAAGTAAGTGTGACGTCCGGACCCGCGGCAGCCCTCTGTGTACACGAGGCAGAAACTGAGCGCACGCTCAAAGGACTCTCTGGGATGTGGACCCTGAAGTCGTGGCACTACAGAGCCAGCTGCTGCCTACCTCCCTGTGTGGAAAACAGGCCCCACGTGGGGAAGCCACATAGCTCCTCCACCCTGCAGTCACACGCATTTTAATGGCCGCACCACCACTTGTGAGTGAGTCCCCCTTTGTGGTGACTGGCAGCATCTGGAGACTGGATGTGAGGTGAGAGAAGGGCAGTGTCACACGTCCTGCACACACATCCTGACCAGGAGGCGTGAGAAGGGGTAAGGTGAGTGGGTCGAGTTCAGACTAACTGGACAGGCCCCTGGGCACCCTGTGGGGTTCAGCGGGGTCCTGGGCTGGAATGGAAGAGTCACAACCATCTGCCTGGGACCAGGGAGCTTTCCGGGATGGGGGTGCTGGGGACAGGTGGAGCAAGAGACAGCAGATGACCGAGGCGATGGGGAGGGAAGGCGGGGCCGTGAGGCCGGTCACTGGACAGATGAGGAAACAAGGAGAGAGTGACTCTGACATCATCATGATTTCAAAACAGGGCGGGGGCTGCCACAAAGCCAGCTAGGACCTCAGGAGACATCAGTGTCGGGGTCTGCGGCCCCAGCCCCAGCCCCCGCTGGGTGTCCCCGAGTGGCCTGGACACCCCAACTTCCGGCCGAAGCTGGAGGCAGCCACGGGGGGGGGGGTTCCCATGACAGCGAGCAGGCAGAGCCGCCCCTCGTAGCACTTTCCACACACTCTGGGAGAAGCTTCCTGCCGTTTCTCCACGAGGTTTTACAGGAGTTGCATGTGCATTGTGACAGGGCAGGGCAGGAAGGAACCAGAGGGCAGCGGTGGCCCTGAGCAAGGAGATGGACAGGCCAGGCAGTGCAAACTACTGCTGCCCGCTTCCTGCGAGCTCTCGGTGCAAGCCGAACATGCCTCCTGCTTACAGAGGTGGAAACTGAGGCGCAGCGAGGTGAATGAACTTGCCCAAAGGAGTTGGGGTCTGACCTTTAGTGATCTGGCTCCAGAATTTTCTTCCCCCCAAGTGGCTGCCCTGCCTCTGGTTTAAGGCTCCCAACAGCTCAGTGTGAACTTAGAGAAACCCTTGTTAGCCCTAAGCACACCGGGACATGGGCTCCACCTTCTCCGCGCCCCGGGGAGTGCAGAGGGGCTGCACCCTAAACCAGCGTTTGCAGGGTTCTGGGCACGCTGAAGGGAAACACAGCGAACTCCGAGCTGCCACAAGGTCCTGGGTTTCATTCTATGCCCTGGGGCCTGGGTCAAGAGAGAATGGCAACGGGGTGCTTGTGACATGGGGTCACCTCTATCCGAGAGAAAGCCTGCAGGGATGTCTGGGGAGCAGGGGCAGGCTAGGCTGCCTCACGAGGTGGTCAGGGAGGGCTTCCCGGAAGTGGTGCCAGTAGGTTAAGCAGAGAGGAGTTGAGTGCAGGACAGCGGGCAGGGAGACAGTGCAGAAGCTAATGGCCGTGCAGGAGACAAGCTCAAGCCAAGGCTAAATGGTTAAATTGGTCCCTGACCCTAAAGCTCAAGAGGGGCCCTCCCTGGTGGCCACCCTGTTAAAGCACAGCACTATGAAGCTGGCTGCAGCCACTTCAGCACAAGTTCGATCCCCCACCAGGGAGGGACCCCCAGCAGACCCCTCCTGTCTCCCCGCTGCTCCCCTCAGCAGTGTCTCACTGGATCTGCCTGTCCTGCTCCCCACTCTGTCCCCGGTGAATCCTCTCACCCCCTGCACCTCTGGCCTGTACCCCAGTTCTGTATGCAGAAATAAATACATCTTTAAATAAAATAAAGTACAAGGGAGTAAAAACAAGCTCATCTAGTTTTCCCTTTGAGGTTTTTATTCAGTTCTTCTCACCCAGCCTGGGCAGGCAAACAGCCTTGAGCTGACCTCCAAGACCAGCTAGAGACTGAAAAAGTAGGCTGGGGCTCCCCAGAGGTGAGGGGGCGCACCTCTGGGGAGGTTCAACCTGCAGTTACCCGTAGCAAAGCCTCCCATGCTCTCTGATGTATGAGGTGCCTGTGGCCCAACAATGAACTTCAGGCTCATCAGCATTTCTTGGCCCCAACCAGAATTTCAGCCAATGAAAGTGGCCTCCGCTCGCTGAGGCCCTGCTGTCCTGTCCTGCTGGGCGAGAGCCAAGCCCAGTGCTTTGAGGTCCCCGACGGCTCAGGGCCCAGACCTGGTGCTGAGGGACCTTTGGAGAAAATCCTTGCCGAGAGAGGAGGCAGGACCTTGAGAAGCCCACTGCCGGCCCAGGCTGCCGCTCCACGCGCCCTGAGTCAGCCCTCCACCCTCCCGGGGCCTCAGTTTCCTGTCTGCACAATAACCACATGGGACTAGAAGGAGCTCAAGACACTGCAGCCAAAGATGCAGTCGTGCCGTCAATAAATAAGCACTGGGCTGCCCTCGGCAGTGACCAGAAGGGACATCCTCTGTGGGTTGTGTCTATGAAGCCAGGGACAAGGGGTCAAAGAAATGAGTGGAGTATGGCACCAGGAGATCGTGCAGAGAGAAGGACCAGGCACGGGCCTGGAGTGAGGAGGGAGGTCCAGGAAGCCTCGGAGGCCACGTCTGGGCCCCGCTCCAAGTGGAGAGGAACAGCCAGGTTTTGTGACTGCTGAACAGAGGATGAAGACAGCTCCCCTACACCCCCACGAGGCCAGCCTGGAACCCAGACCCCTGCCTGTCTGTCTGGATGGCCACCCCTGCTGTGGGGCCCTGGGCAAGCAACTTCCCTGCCAGCATCCGGGTCTCCTCTGTGCCTGGGAGAGGGCAGCTGCAAAGCCAGATTTTCTCGAAAGGCTTTGAGTCTGCATTTCTGGGTATTCAGGTTCTGACTCAACTTCAGGCTCTTGGCTTTTGAGATGGATAAGAAACTGCATGCTGGAGGACTGGCCTGCCCCCGGGGGTCCCCCGGAAAGCGAGGAGGCCCAGGGGCAGCAGCCTGCACTCACCTCTTAGCCCGCAGCTGCTGGGCCACGGCCATGGCCGCCAGTGTTCTGGGCCGTGGGCACCAAGGTCTCACCCAGCCAGGCCGGGCTGAGTTCGGCTCTTACTTCCTCCAGCCGCCCAGCCTCTGGCCTGTGGTCCCTTCAGTTCTAGAAATGGCCCCTCCTCCAGGCTCTCTGGGCCGCACTTCCTCTTCCCCTCCTCCCAGCTGGCAAATGCGGAAGTGCCCTCCACTGCACTCCAGATGGGAGTCCACTGGCTTGAGGCTTCGGTGACTTTCTCCAAGCCGGTGCTTGGTGCCAAGTCTCGGCAGGACTTCAGATAGGCTCTTGTATCAAAGGCAGATCCGGGAAGCGACTTCTCATCCACTGGCTCATCAGCCCGAACCACACTCTCACCCCCAAGATCTGGCCTCAGTAATTCCCCAGGCCCGTAGTGCTGGTGTCCACCTTGTCTACCTCAGACTGAGCTGCTAGGCCACCTCCTCCAGGAAGCCTCCCTGGCTTCTCCACGGTTAGTGCTCTCAGGCACTGCTATCCTGCTAGAGCGTGAAGGTTGGTTTATGCCTCCACCTTCCCCCGATGCTCTAGGCTATACTTTCCCCACTCTGGGTCCCCAGGCCCCACAGTGCATCCTGCTAGGACCAGAGTGAGTTTCACACTGCAAACCTAATCACACCTTCCCCTGCTAAACTCTTCAGACACTTCACGTATGCTTAAGAGAAAGCCCAAACTATTTACCTGCCTGTCCCCAAAGCTCTCAAGTCCCTGCTACCTTCCCCAGGCCTCTCTCCCAGACCGTCCTGCCCACACTTACCTTCATTCCATTCTAGAATGTTCCAGGATGTCTGCTCCTCAGAAACGCCATGCTGGCTGTTCCCCGGCTAGAATGCTCTTCTGTGCCTCCTAGAGAACTTGCTCTTTTGCAAGTACTTCCGTGACTCCTCACCCTAAATGAAGCCTTCTTATATATTCACTTCCAGATGCTTTATGTCAGAGTGTTGGAACGATTGTAGCTTCACATTTCTTTGTGTGTTTCTGTTCACTGGCCGCTTTCATAGCCCTCATGCGTGTGGCATGTGGCTGTGGCAAGAGCTGCTCCAGTATCCAGGGGATGAATAGACTTCTTCCAGTTGGTGAGTCTGAGGCTCTGGGGTTCTGGGGGAGCGCTCCGAGGAGCCCACAGTCCTACCTGTTGGCCACTCGCACACACACACGTCACAGACATGGCAGGACGCGGGCAGAGACAGCCCAGGAAGGACACAGATGAGGACGTAGACGCACCGCCATGTCCACGGGCCCTACTGACTCCCTCTGCCCCTAACCCACGCTGTATCAGGACCCCCAGGACAGGGAGAGGGGTGCGGAAGGCCGGGTCAGCCTTCAGTCAGGTCTCCCCCTCCGACAAAGGGCCTGAGGACTGGAGGCTTTCTCAGGGGCCCTGGGCGGTCTGGCTCTGAGAACAGAGAGCAGCTGGCAGCCCCAAGCGCTTCTTCTGGACCTCACCCCTGTTCCTCCCAGCCACCTGAGGAGCCTGTGCCCCAGGTTCAGGGTGGAGCCTGCTATGGGCCCAGCCCCCAGGCCTCCCCCCAGAAAGATCACCCTCTCTTCATCCTGGCCAGCCACAGCCAAGAGCACTTCTGAAAAAGCAATAGTGCAGCTCTTTGGGAGGGAGGGATAGAGAAGGGGAGAGACAGAGGCAGGGAACAGAAAGGAGAAAGCTGGAGAGACTCAGTCAACAGCCATCTGTTGAGTCTGGCACTCAGAAGACAAAGATAAAATGGCAGGTGTACACAGCTGAAATTTTCCATCCATAGGAAAACGTTGGGTAATATATTTTTAAGTATTCCAGGACTCCACGGCTCAAAAAACAAAACTTGTAGGTCCTTCAAGAGGGGAACGTTTGCCACTGAAGGGAGCTGGGGTCCCACAGATCCACGGAAAGCCAAGGATAGCTGGAGTTGTTGGGACAGAGAGTTGTTGGGCCAGAGGCCAAGCGCTGGGTCCTGCTGTTGGCAGAAAGTAGCTGAACCCCCACCAGGAAGCCAGTGTCAGAACTGATCGGCGGATCAGAATTGCTCAGGGGTCAGCCTGAGGTCACTGCAGGGACTGGTATCCTCAGCCAGGCCTGGGGTGGGATGAGGGCACATTTACCTGAATGCACTGTGGTGTGAGGCCCGGTCCGAAGACAGCCATGTGGCATAGAACCCACCGTGGCGTGACGTGAAAGCATTTCAGGGCCCGAGAGCCCGGAGGGATCACAGCACAGCTGTGATCCCACACTGAGTCATGCATCACTCAAAGGACACCTGCACAGCCAGGTGGCTTCTGTATGCACCCCAGAAGAGCTCACACCTGTCGAAATAGAAATAATAGAGATGAGGGCTCCACCCCGTACCGCAGTCTCGGGGCTCGATGAAAGGGTGGAACTAACTAACGGACGTTAAGGGCAGCAGGTGTCTGTACACGCACACAGGTGCGAGCCCCGGGCACAGCTGAGAGGCGAGGCGGACGCTGGGCAGGAGCTGGGCCGGAAGTGACAGACTTCAGCAAAGAAGCGGGGTGGAGCGTGGGCACCGGGGCAGCAGGCATGGCGCACACGCAGCTGGAAACACCGCTGTCTGCAGACGCGTGAGTGAGCACGCTGTGTCCGAGCCGGGGATCGACGCCGTGGCCTGTCTGGTGTGATGGAGGCAGAACCTAGATAACGGGACCTTGGGCAAGTCGCACGTCCTCCTCCGTCGTCTGCACACAGACTTACTGAGTGGAGTTGCAGGAAGAGCAGAGTTGAGGGAAATGTGGGAACGCCCCCAGACCCGCGGGGATTTCTTTCTCATCCACAGTTCTGTGCGTGTCTGCGTGTCGCAGGTAGGACGCCTCCCCAGGTTTGCGGGGGCCTTGCCACCCTTCCCCCACCCCGTTCACCCAAGCAGCCTCCCCCTAACTCAGGCCCTGGATGGGGCGTAGGCCACAGGGGGCCAGCTTGGCTGGGCAGGGCCATGGGCCTGAGTGGGCAGCTCTTCCCCTCCCCCCCTCCCCCTGCCTCTCTCCTGTCCCTGCCCGTGGTTCTGCTGAATACGGGTATTTCTCTGGCTCCTCACACGCAGAACAGCGTTGCTGCTAATTTTATGCCAGAGCTCTGATACAGTGTAATTTGAGGCCAGACACTCTGTCAGCAACCTGCTCTGGTTGCCATGTCTTCACACCCCCCAGCACACACACACACACTCACACACACTCACACACACTCACACACAGCTGTTGCTGCTGCAGGGGTGAGGGAGGCGTGTGGCAGAGGAGCAGCCTGGAGGAGGAGCCAAGCTACTCACACACTCCATTCAGTGAGTGCCGGCCCAGCTGTCTGAGGAGGTACAAACAGGTGCCTGAAGTGACCCCTAGTTTACAGAGAATGGATGCTTGCCCACCTCCTCCCCCACCCCGGGCAGCAACAAAAGCGGTCACTGTACAGTCCCATCGGGCCCCGCGTCCCTGCCCAGGCACATGTGTTTTGTTGGTGGAAGAGCTCGGCTGGGCCCGGTGGCAGCACACCCCCCCTCACCCCCCAGAGGCTCAAGCGGCCCGTCGGGAAGACAAGGCTGCTCGGGGCGGTCAGAAGCCAACGACCATCAAGGGACATTTTGACAATGACAAAGAAGATGACATGTTAAAAAAAAAATAGGCTCAAGAACTCAAAAGCCAGTGCCGGGACCATCAGAGAGTGTCTGAAGGTTTACAAATGTCCATCGTGGTCTCCAGGACAAGGCTCAAGGCACTCGGGGGGGGATTCTGAGCCCAAGAGAAACGAGGGGCAGCCCTTTCACACCTTCTTCCTTTGTGGGTGCGATAAACCAGCCCACACAGAGGTGAGGAAGCCGCCTGCGAGCCACCAGGTCAGGGCTCGGGCCGCAGGGAGGGGCTCAAGGTCGCAGCCAGCGGGCGACCAGCCTGAGCCTTCAGCCGCCAGGAGGCTCCCGGGCTGCTGCAGACTCAGCGGATGCCTGCCGTCAGCGATCGTCCTGGGAAACGACAGGAAAACCCAGACTGCACCGATTCCTGGGGATCCCTCGCTCCCTGAAGTCCCCAATCCTGACCCACATGTGTCTCTCTCTGTAATTTATGAGGGAGCTTCACTGGCGTGTCACTCTCCCCTCGGCCAGAAATAGCCATTCCTGGCAGGCTTGCTAGTGTTTGAACACAGGGACAGTGTGCTGTGGGCAGCGAGACTGTAAGCGCCCTAAAGGCAGAGGCCCCCTGTTCTTCTCCAGACGTGGCATGGCTGGGACTGAACTCAGGTGCCATGGCTGAAGCACAGGGTACTGCGCCACCTCTCTGCCCACTGGTTTCCTTGTTCGCATTCTAAACAGCTCCAAATGTTTGCTTTGTGGCATTACTGTATTATCCCTCTGTTCAAAGCGTGTTAACACGGACGACGAGCCAGATGTTAGAAAGTCACTATTCCATGGTGCAGTCCTTCTGAAGTTGGTTAAATAAGACCTTGAAAGCCGGGGGTAAGCCTGGCTCATAATATTTAGGGAGTCAGCAAATAACGCGTGTTACTGTTGCAATTACTGATGATAATGTTAGGGTAATTTGATCATTACTATTGATATGAAAGAAATTAAGATAACTTCTGTTGGTTCCATCTTGATCTATCTCCCCCTGGCACACCTTGCTCCTCTCACAAAGCATCACGTTAAATTCTAATTTTTTCCCCTGGCATCCACGCTCGCGTGTGGGAATGGTTTTGCACGTCATCAAAATGTTGACCGAAACATACCAGTAGGGGGCGCCGCGACTCAGCAGCCAGCGTCCACTCGGCAGCGCCACCTAGAGGACGAAAGTCATAAACGTCAATGAAAGGACCAGCCCAACTGGAGGGTTAAGCAAGGAGCCAGGCCTGGTGGATTCCACGGGCCTCTGTGAGCAGGTGCAGGCCTAGGAGCAGGGGCTCCTGCATCTTCTCTCTACTGCTCATAAGCACAGAGAACCGTAAGAGTCTAGATGCACGGAGCACTTACAGAGGAAGCACCCTGCTCTGTCCCGTTGCAGGAGCAGATGTGTGAACGTCGCAAAGCCCATAGAAGCTCCGGCCCCACACCTGTTGACTTTCTCGTCACACCACCCC